TAGTGAATGCCCCTATGAATGGTCTTATTTTTACGATTTAGTTTTAATCCAAATGATGCGTGTGCTAAGTGAGTGAACATCAAAGATCACACAACAGAATTGCGCGCGCGCTCTCTCTCTCTCGCTCTCCCTACCATTAAGTAACTTACTTGTTTTTGACATATATCTGACCGGACTACAAACTTTCCAGTGATGTCTGTGAGAAAGGTATATTCACTCGACAAGCTTGTGCATCTGCGCCGCCGCAAGCTCAATCCACTCAGCGTGCTTTGCTCGCGCACATCAGCTATACAGGCGTTAATACTGAATGTTTAACATTATATTCATTCCATACATATACTTCATAGTAGACATCCTTAACGCCTTTCTGCTGTCTGTTGTTGGTGTTTCTTTGTCTGAATATGGCGCTTATCACATGCTGTGTGCTATCGGCGTTTGGTATCAGGGCATTTTAACGAGTACGAGTACAGGAGACCAGTATCGGTATCGGTGCATCCCTAATTATTATCCTATCTCTTACTTTTAATTGGCTGAGAAATCAAATACATTGCTGGACAATAATCAATTATTTGTATTCTATCATATTTTTCCTATAGAGAAACAGAAAGAAACAAGGGTTACAATTCTCAGACAGCAGTTCACAGCTTTAATCATAAAACCTTTAAAAGACAGATGAAAAATCTGATCTGCATGTTAGATTTAGCTTTGACTTTCACTTCTGAAGGTCCTAAATGTAAAATCATTCTCTTTTGGGAGTGTCAGAAATAAACTCATCCAAATTTCATTACAAAGGTTTAAAAATCGCCTCAGGCGAACCTGCACAGCGCAGTCTTGTATTCATTCATGTGAATACTGCATAATGACACACTTCAGACAGAATGTTTGCCCAAAAGGTTTAGTAAATCCTGGGCTTAACCGCATCTTCAAAGTTGGCTCTTCACTGACACATGAAAGAGAGAGTAAAATAGAAAGAAACCTGAGGTTATGTTCAGCTCATTTCCAATGGCCAGACTCCAGACTTTCCCCCTCACGTTGGGCGGAAGACCTTGCCACCACAGATCCCTCACACGCCGCGTACCACGCCTGAAGAGACAGCAGTAAAGATTTAACTATACGCATAGGTATTAATATTTATAGGAACTTCCTATCGAGAACAAACGATATGCTGCCTACATGGGCAGCTCTAGTTTTAGCAACAGAGATAATGTGTTTATATAATCATAATTATCACTGCAGGGTGTGATAATGTCTCACATGCTCTCCCAGTTGGGAAGGATTTCGTTGTTCCAAACCACCATGGCGTTAGCGATGCTTTCCTCCTGTTTAAATCTTTCCTTCATCTGCTTTTTCTTCTTCTGAGCCTCCTTCAGCTCTGAGAACAACAGTCATATTACCTCATATTAAAGTTTAACAAGGCAGAGTGTGCCAAAAGCATTCCTGACTAAATGAAATAGCACATTTCCAGATTTAATGACCACCTTGGTCTTAGCAAGGGAAAGATACACTAGTGTGACACTTTTGTTTGGGTGAATCTCTCGAAAACACGTCTGGGTCGCTATAAATAAGGCTATTTTCCATTATTTTTATAATTAATCAATCATATTTCCCCAAAATTGTCATTACCATAATGCTTCCAGGCATTCTATGTCTTTCCTTTTCTTTTATATATTTTTAATTTTATTATTTTTTGACGTTTTAATTCCCATTATTGTCAGTGGTGATTCTCAACACTAATTTCTGTAAAGTGGTCATTTTCATTGTATTAAGGTGAATAAAGTTCTAATTCAAAGAATTCAAATGTACTTATTTGAATAAGTAAGCAATATATTTTCTTCTTTTTTTGCATTATGATAATGAGAAGAACTTTTCAATCTTGCTTCTGAAACTTGGCACTGCTGTACTGCAAAAATTGTTAAAAGTTTTCTGTGATAAATTACCTGTGATTTACACAAAGGCATGTGATTTTGGGACAAAATATGACCCAGGTGTGTTCTTGACATGTTTAATGAGCCATATTTAAGCCAAATGAACACAAAAACCTGGTACACTGAAAAGAAAAGAAAAAAACGGTGTAGAATTTACTACAATTAACAATTTTCAACATTGAATTATAATGCAGTTCAACAAGGTTATGTACACGCGCTCTCTCGTCTCATATAATATCTCATTTGGGTGTGTAAATCTTTTTAATTACTTCAAAAATTCAGCTATTCGTACTTGAAATTCTGAATATTTTGCACACAGCCTTTCTTCAGTGTGAAACATTAAAGTGCCCCTATTATGGGTTATGAAAGGTTCATATTTTGGTTTTGGGAGTCCACAACAACAGGTGACAGGCATGCAAGGTAAAAAAACACCTTCATTGTCTTATAATATGCATTTATTTTTACCTTACTTTCTTAACGACTCCCAAATGATTAATTTAACGATTTATTCCTTTGCATGACACTAATCGGCGGTGATTGGTTTCATTTTCATTTCATCTTGCCTGTAATGCCTGATAAAGCAGCGTTTGTGAGCGCAGTGCTGCTTTGTGTACAGCGTTACCGGGGACACAGCTATTTTACCGCTCCAAAAGCGGCACCTAGTGGCAAAGAATGAATTTGCATTTTCATTCAGACCAACAGGAAAAGACCAACAAGTGGGCGGGCAATATGCTAATGTTTCATTTTGACACATGAAACGGCTTGGGATTCGTTTTAAAAACGGCACGTTTCAATGATTCAGAGTCGCCTCTTTCTTTTGAGAGACAATAACTTTATACACGTGCACTTTCAGATTTAAAACTTGGCAGGATGTTTTCATTCACTTAGAGCTGTGTTACACACTGCATGAAAGGTAATTTTCAAAAATCCATAACAGGGGCACTTTCAATTAAACATGAAATTCTGAAGTGGAAAGACTGAAATAATATTTCTTGTAAACTTCAATTCCATTTCATTTGCAACTTCAAAAAAACAAAACAATTTAAATGCACCTCTTTTCTTGGCCTCGGCCACCATTTCATCGTACTCCTGACGGTGGCGCTGCGCTTCCTCCTCCGATTTAGCAGGGAGGCTCCTGAGGAAGAAAGACAATAATTTTAGTTGTCACAACAAACGGACAATTAAACATCTCAAATGCACAGCCTAGAAACCTGTTAGCACTGACATGTTTCAGAAACACCTGACGAATACTACTGAGAAGTTTCTGGAAAAGGCCTCATCGCTGGTTTATCTCATGGTTTGGCTGACACACTCACATTTCACTGCTCATTTATTCTTAATAAGGACTTGGGCATTGACGAGACTTCTGTGGCGAAATACAGCCCAGTCTATGCTAAGTCTTATTTATAGCCCTCTGTTTGGGAAAGATGAGCCTCTCAAGGTATGTTAGGATATATATATCGCAGGTCAATGTATCCTAAGCAACTTAGGCCACAAGTGAGAAGGGTGGCAATACATCTACCTGAACTCTCCTGGAAGGACCTCAAAGACTCCCACAACTTAATCTTAACTTAAAAAAAAACATTTCTTCTTAATTACTGACATTATATTTGGACTGAATTGCCAGAGGAGAACTGTTGTTGCCTGTCTTTTAGTCGTCATTATCCAACATCAAATGGAGTTTTTCGTTTATTGCCACACTTGCCTTAAGAGTTGCACACTAGGGGACTAAATATATTATGCACCCTTTACAGTGTGTTACTGTATGTGTAAGTATTATGCCATGACTTTAAATTAACTAATTTAAACTGCTTTAGGATTAGGGATGCACCAATACCGATACCGATACTGGCATATAGCACGTCTATCTTTATCTGCATATATACAGTATATTCAAGTAAAGCAATAGATACTATATAGCAAATCTCAGCTACATGATTATATAGTTATTAGTGCTGTCAAACGATTAATCGCGATTAATCTTATCCAAAATAAAAGTTTTTGTTTACATAATATATGTGTGTGTACTATGTATATTTATTATGTATACATAAAGACACACACATACAGCATATATTTTGAAAATATTTACATGCATTTACATGTATATATTTATATTCATATAAATTAGGGCTGCACGATTAATCGCATGCGATATTTAACGCGCATCTTGTCAGAAAGCCGGTTCTGTAATCAGCGGTAAATCTCCATCACCTGCG